CATCTTTATCATTAGTATCATCAGTATTCATCATCATTAACCATTAGTGATCATCTATTCCGTAAATGTTCCAAGGCTGCTCGTGACCGTGAGCACGGTTGATATACCAGTTTTACAATCTGCAGAGGTTGTACAGTTTCACTGTGAGTCGTGATTTACCCTTTGTCCCGAGGTAGCTAATCTCTTGACCCACTTCTAAGGAAGGTCGGCAAGGTTCACTATGAAGCATTTCAAAGGTTCGTCTAACAAGTTAGGGCTATTAGATTCACTTGGCAAACAGATGTAGAGCCCCCCTTCCCGATGGCACAATGACGCGTAGCCTATACTCAAGGGGACAGAGGCCGCACTATACCCGATTCGTAAGCCATTCTTACGCAATAAAAGTAACCACTAACAAGCTAGAAAATGTCCTCGTACTGAGCTAAAGTCAGAGCCATGTAGCCCTCACAGTTGTACTGTAAGTCCCGGATGATCACTTACAGATAAGTCCTTAGGGAGAGGAATCTAGAGCACCATAAAAACTGCCCAATGCTCTAGCCCCCTTGTTCCATGTTGCTAAAAGCATGTTTTAGTGTTTATTGCATATACTATTAGTCAAGTTATAAGATCATGACTTTAGTTGAGCACTAGCATCATACTACCCAATGCAATTTTTTATAGGTGACAAGGCACAAGATATCAAATATCTAGGATATATTTATTGGCAACAAGGTAGACACATGCAATATGAATTAAGTGATTAAAGGTAAATAGGTAACAAGGATGATCACATGCTATACTTGCCTTAAAACACCTATCCTTCGGTAAGCTTTAATCTTCAACGTTCTTCTTCTTCTTCTTGAGCACCACGTATATCTCACCGACTGAACTTAATCCTAAAGCACCACACAAGCATCCATACAATCATACACGAAGCAACCAATAGAACTAAATCAGAACAGTACACCAATCATAGAAAAATAAGTGAAAGAGTTTGAACTATGATCCTACGCATCGCTATGAACACACAGATGCGAAGAGCACGCTAATCGGAGCTACGGTTGTAAAGAAACGAATGCAGGGTTTTATAAAAGAAAAGATAAGACTATAAGCTTGATTTATGTTAATTAGGAAAAACTATGTGAGTAGCATTAATTTAGATTAGATAAATTATATTTTAATATAAAAACCGAGTTGAGGTTAATCATATTTTATCTTATAAATATTATCACATAATTTGTTAAACAAGTTAAATTTTATCTTTGCAAAAGAAAAGAAAGACGTGAGAGCATCTAAATGAGTTTTATATGACCATGTTTAGCCTAAACAAAAAACACATATTTAATCTGACGTTAATCAAGTTAACAGTTACTTACAAAAGATCGATACTATCCTATTTTGATTTTATTTAAAAAAACTTGTTTGCATAAACATTAATCAATTTAATATTTTAAATTATAAAATTCACAAGTATAGCACATGAAGACGTCAGTACTAGTACGTAGATTAAGCCAACAAAAATCTAACGTAATTTGAATGGACTGACATGAGGCCACGTCCAATTAAGATCAGTGCTTGTGAGTAGAAAAAGTACGTCCAGCACTTGGATAAATTTAGCAAAAAAATATTGAACTTGTATGGAGCTGGAATAGGCCGACTAAAAATTGCTAATAAATAATATGATCACGATCTACTCTAGGAATAGATTGTAAGGATGCAGACGGCGATTGAGTGTGTGATTTGTAGATAGCTAGTATACTCACATGTAAACGGTGGGCAGTTGTGCTCCGCTCATATGCAGATTTGCACGTAAGCATGCATCTGCATGTGTGCTTGCTATGGCGAGAATAGAGGCATGAGCCTGGCTTGCTTGATGATGGGCAGCAGCTTGCAAGGACGACGCTGGTGCCCAGAGGTGGATGGCCGGCGCGTAGAACAGCAAGCGACGGCGACATGCAGGATTTCCTTGCAAGCAGACAGATACACCATAATGAAATAAGCGAGTGCAGACTGCAGAGAACACAAAGACCTGATAGAAAAAGGAAAGGTAGCAACAAGAGGCATTCTCACTGGAGGCAGATGTGCGGCAGATGAACAATGGTGACCAACAGGGCTCTGACTAGCGGCCGGCACGACGATTCCAAGCCGGCAACGAACCGGTGCCGAGGAGACGAGAACGCTGACATGGCAGCTTGATGAAGCTTCTTCTCAAGAAGGTTTTCTCAGACCTTGGTTTCGGCGTTGCTGAAACATGGTTCACGGTCGGCAATGAGTAGCAGATTGCATGGCCACGGAGCAACGACAGGATGTAGCCACGAGTTAGAGAACGGCAGGGACGGCGGCGGACTTACTTGTTGCCGAGGAGAGTATGGCCGGGCTGGGCAGCGCGGCGGCGACGGTGAGAGAAGGCTGAGAAAAATCTAATTTACTATACGAGAGACTTTCCAAACTAGGGGCTCCTCTTACTGTAGTTTGTGTGTGCTTTGTCTAAGGGGTTGGTACAGATATATAGGGAGAAAAACTCCCCACCTCCACGTCAACTAGCGATACGGTACTAATTGACGTTGCACTATCCACCTGCACTAATGGGTCTAAATAAACATTAAAGCTTATTAGTAAATAAAGACATGTGCCTTTAAGATTTATTAGGATTATTGCACATGGGCTTTGAGCATTGGAAAAAATGAGAGATTTATTATTTTTGGAATTAATTAATTTCATGGATAAAATAATTCTAGAAAAGTCCAAAATTGATATTTAAGCTACGAAAAATACTCCGAGACCTTCGAAAATTTGGGAAAAATTCCCAGAGACCCTTTGGAACATGATGAACTCAAATAAAGTATTTCAAGCTCATAAAAATATTGTTGGGAACTTGGAACATAAAGATTAAGGTGAAGGAGGTAGGAATTAAATTCTAGAAAGAAGCTGAAAAATTCATAAAGATAGATATTCGTCTCCTAAACGTATAAAAAACATACATTTTGCACATAGAAACACGAGGTGCGACCGGCATGAATGCAACAAACACGTTTCTACCTTATGATAAATTTTAAATTAATGAAAAATTTTATTTTCCTATGTTTTCGTGTGCACAAAAATTCACAAATAAATCATTTTAACTCTATTTTCAAAAGTGGCAAATTTTGGGGTGTTACATAATTTGAGGCGGGCAAAAAGAGTTTTGAGGTGCAGACGCGGAGACACCTTTCCCATAGCATCTGTATAGACCCAGATTTACACATGTGGTCAACGCTCACCTCTGCAATTGATATTTGAAAATAAGGAGTTTTGGATTGGGATTAGAGTAGTTTAATATATTAGGGACCTAAATATGTAATTCCATAATTTCGGGATTTCAGGGAGAATATTGTGATAGTTTAGAGATCGCTCGTGTAATTATAAGCTAAGGATGCATATGTTGGTTTCACATTGAAGCACCACATCAGCTAATGACTTGTGATGTGGTTATTTTGGACCGTGATTGGGGTACTTAAATAGTATCAGGACTTTTTAAGGGTCAGCAGGGACCAGTCAGGCCGCTACTTAATTTTTATGTATATATGAAAGGGAATATTTACAATTTACAAGGCTTGTAAAGCCCAAACAGGGGGGAAAAACTGTTTGATCTTTAGATATGCAATTTCATAGTTCAAGGATCTGGATGAAAATGACATAATAGTTTAGAGATTACTAGTGTAATTTACTCTTTATTATATGGCTAAAAAATTGAATTCAACAAAGGGAGGTGCTACGTCAGCAGCTTTGGATTGAATAATCTCACTTTGTTTGAGATATCAGGTAGTCAATCAATTACAGATGGTCATTATGGAGATTTCATATTTTTTCTATTCTACTAGAAAACTAGAAGAAGCCATTTTACCAAATGCTTTTCTAAAAAGCTTTAGCTCTACCGAAGAAACTGCTTCCGTAGAGAAGCCAGAGCCATTTTAAAATAGTTATCAATATGCTTACATATATATTTTATTGAGGTTAGCACTCTTGGTTCCTCCTAGATCTCACACTAAACTGCACCGTTGATCTTGAGCACCGTAGTGTATGCCTAAACGAAGGGGAAGCTAGAATTTTATGTCACCGAATCAGCGGAGTGACTCCTGAAGTTGCAATGCTATTTTATTGATTAGAAAGAGAGATTTAGAAATTTTAATGAGGAGATTCTAGTGGGAATAAGAAAAGCTAGTGGGCTTAGAGGACCACAATAGAATTATGTACTCCCTCCATTCCAAATTATATAAACGTTTTGACTTTTCTATATACATTAAGCAATGTATTTAGAAAAGTCAAAATGTCTTATAATTTGCAACAAAGGGAGTAGCTCTCTACTTAAATGATTGTTTATGCCATAGTAGCGCTAAGAGTGCAGCCTGCATACAAAAATCATCATTTTTAATACCGCACAATGATAAGACTATTTTATACCATATATGTAATGTAACGGTGCATTTAGCAAAACTATTTTTGGTAGGCTTTGGTCAAAGAATATTTTTATTTAAGATAAAACTAAAATAACATAAACTCTTAGAACCAGTAGAGTATGACAAGTGGCGTTCTTTTAATTGTTATTATGAAATGTTCTTTTCCATGAAGCACACATAACACATACCGATCAATCTGTCTCGACTTGACAAGAAATATTCTCTTTTCCAAACAGGTTACAGGTCCACATCATTAAGGTGTGGTAAGACATTGTTGCAGAAACACCACTGCACATTAGTGAAACTGAAAGTTGAAGAGCTCAAGGGGGGCGACTGTGTTTTGCTAGTCAACGGCTAAGTAAATATATCAGACAACCAACTCAGCTCACGGATCTGGCCAAGCAAAGACTTGCTTTGCAATGTCCCAAACTCCCAGTTGACTATGTTCATGCCTAGCTGATATCCCCATGTTCCCATCTCTAGGTGCGCGGAGGTTGCACAATTCCTCCGAGCATTAGCATCACTAATCACTAGCTGCTACCACAGAGACAAACACACTGGAGTGTCTAGGAAAGACGGGAAGCAATGGCGGACCTGGCAGTGAGCTTGGCCAAATCGGTGGTGGAGGGGGCTGTGACCAAGGCCCTGGCGGCGATTGAGGAGGAGGCAACGCTGCGGCAGAGCACGCAGAACGACCTGGCGTTCATCACCGGTGAGTTCCAGATGATGCAGTCCTTCCTCAATGTCGCAGATGAGGAGCGCGCCAGGAACAACGTGGTGAGGACCTGGGTGAGACAGGTCCGTGACCTCGCATACAACGTGGAGGACTGCATCGAGTATGTGATCCACCTTGACAAGGCGTCAGACTGCCACTGCCGCTGCCTCCCAGGCTTCATCAGGCCAGAGCTGCCGCTGGACAAGGCAGTCGCCGAGATAAAGCTGCTCAAGGGCAGGGTTGAGGAGGTGAGCCTTAGGAACATGCGCTACAACCTCATTAGTGATTCAGGTTCCAAGCCCGTCACGCAGCAACAGTTGGTGCCTGGTGCTTCTGTCGGTGCCACAACATTTGACATGCTCGTCAAAGCAAGAGATACCACAAAGATGCAACGAGGATTAGGAGATCTGACCAAGTTGTTGATCACCAAGAAACCTGGTGGAGACCTTGGAGTGATCTCAGTGTGGGCAGCAGGTGGCAATGCTGATACCACACCCATCATCAGGGAGGCTTATGGCAAACCAGAAATATGTGACAGCTTCAGATGCCGTGGCTGGGCAAAGCTGTCGCACCCTTTCAATCCCCATGAGTTCCAGCGGAGCTTGCTGATTCAGTTCCACACAAACTCATGCCTACAAAAGAAATCGGGTGTAGACGTTGGTACCCTCAAGAGATTGGAAGTGGCTGCAGAAGGCGAACTTATTGAAGAGTTCATGGAGCAAATGAAGGAGAGGTACCTGATTATCCTGGAAAATGTTTCCAGTATGGTAGAGTGGGACACCGTCAGAGCTTACCTGCCTGAAGAGAAAAATCACAGCTGGGTCATCATCTCTACTCAGCAATCTGAAGTCGCTAGGCTGTGTGTTGGAGATCCATGGCAAGTGTTTGAGCTTAAGCAGTCCTCAGCCGAACACTCTGTATGTGTCTTCTTCAGGGAGGTAAGCAGCTGAAACACAATCGAATAACTTTCTGGAAAAAATGGTCTTTTGCTCTTATAGTTTTGATCATTACATATTCTAATCATATGCTAGAAATATTAATTTCAAATTATTGATAGATATAGAAGTACTTTGATTAAAAATGTACAGTAGCAGTTCTACTTATTTTGCTCATCACCAGTGAAGGGCTGGCTGTGCAAACAAAACGAAAATGTGCAGACAATGCTAGTCATTGGTATATTTATCATTAACAAAAGCTCCCCCCGCCCCTGCACACACACACAATGAGACTGATTCCCCATAGTCCCCACATAGGGAATAACGGAAATAGGTTTAGGAGAAAGTAGTGGAATAAATTCTTATATTTGTTCAGTCAAATCATCAAATCCAAACTCATAATGTAACACTTGGCACAGGATTCAGAAACTGTGCCATCCCTCCAATGTTTGTTGCATGTTACGTTAATTCTCTCCTTGACCACCCTTCTTAAATTTTCTATATTTTCAGGGTTCTCAAGGCGACGGAGATAAAAGCAAGCAAACCACTATGGTGATGGCTAACAATAATGAGGCATCATCATCAATGGGTGTCCAAAACAACACTGATATGTGTATTGGTCGATTCCCCCTAGTTAAAGTACGTGATTCACAGATGAAAGATCTCCGTGGCTATTTAGCCAGGGCGTGTGTTAATGGTGTTCCTGTGATATCCGTGTGGGGGATAGCTGGTGTTGGGAAATCAGCTCTAGTCAGGAACTTATACTACGACATAATGTATGACAGTAGCAACAGAATATTTACCATGTACAGTTGGGTGGATGTATCACATCCATTCAATTTAAGGAACTTGGCTTGGAGCTTACTTTCACAACTTCAGTCAGATTCTCCTCAGCAAAATGGAATCAGCAATCCCATTCAAGAGTGTCATGAGCTTCTGGAGAAGCATCGCTGCCTTGTCATTATAGATGGTTTGCAATCCACAGAAGAGTGGGATCTAATACGACATTACTTGGTATCTACACATTGTAGAAGCATTATCGTTGTGATTACAACTGAAGCAAGCATAGCCATACATTGTGCAAATCGAGAAGAGGCCATGTACAATGTCAAAAGTCTAGAAGACGATGAAGCACGTGATCTCTTCAAAAAGAAGGTGTGTTTTCTTGCAAGATACTTGCATATTCTCTTGGTCTTGCTAAATCATTTCTCAGATGCATCTTGATGCTCAAATCTATGATTTTTCTTCTTTTCCCCCTCTAGGAGATTAAACTGTGTTTTGCAAAACATGAAAAATGGTGTGAACATTTTTTCTTTTGCATCAAAGTAGTTTTATCCAAGCTTTTTTTTTCTCTGTTGCTACTATGCTCATCCAAAATTCTTAAAATACACAGAATCATCTTATCCAAGTCTTCTATAGTAAGCTTAACAAAACTCCTTATCCAAATGGTATCATAAAAATTCAGAACAATTCTTGGACCATGAGTACAATTTTTTTCTATTAACGAACTATATGTTTAGTAGTATAGATTTTATAAACAATAGACCATATTACAAGCATACTATCAATATAGATATGTCGTAATATTTCAACAAAAATTGTATATTTTTCTAAATAAAACTTACAGATTATAACAAACAACAAGCTGCAATCCACAATTTGAAAGATAAAACAAACAGATCTTGATGCACATGTATTTTTTTCAATTTTCAATACATGAGTTTATGCATGTTAACAGCACAAGCTTAAACTAAATCTAAAGTGTGATTGATTGATCTACTAATTTAGCTTCTTTTCAATAATACAGGTAGGCACATTTCCAGATTCGTCCGCTTTAAGGGATTCTAAAGATCCGAGCTTGAAAACTTATTTCCATGTGTGGCGGACTTCCCAAAGTAATAGTTGCTGTAGCCAACTTTTTGCACCCATGACAGTCAGCTGGATGAAAACCGCAATGAATCTTAGTGACAGATTTATGCATGATCTGGAGACTAAACCGAATTTGATAACCTCGTGGACTATTTGGTTGGATGCATTCCTACTTCCGTACTTGCCCAGATTATCTCAAGCCATGTATCCTCTACCTGTCCATTTTCCCGCAAGGCCAAAGCATTCAACGGAGGCGTCTAGTGAGGCGGTGGATCGCAGAGGGTTACTCGAGGGACACGTCCAACAGGTCAGCTGAGGAGAATGGGGAGAAATTCTTCTCGATGCTCCTTGATCTGAGTATCATCCAGCAGACTCCACATTCAGTCACCACTGCAGATACAAGAACGGTCATGTGCCAAATCAATGGCTTCTTCCGCGAGTACATCATATCAAGGCAAAAGGATGAGGACCTTGTCTTCGAACTGGAGGGCAGGTGCATATTGACCAGTCAACGCACAGGGCGGCACACCTTGTCATAAAGGATAGCTGGGACAGAGACAAGATCGTGTTCAGTAGTATTGACTTCTCAAGGCTACGCCCTCACTGTGTTTGGACAGTGGAAGCCCTTCTTCATCAGTGACACTATGAGGGTGCTCCGGTGCTTGATCTCGAGAATGCAACAGGTGTGACATATAAATACCTGGAGCAGATGCTGAAGCTGCTTCCTCGCCTCAAGTTGCTCTCTCTAAGAGGAATAAGAGAGATCTGCCATCTGCCAAGTTCATTTGCTGCTCTGAGACAACTTGAAACTCTGGATGTCAGGGACACCTCCATAGTCACTTTGCCACCATCCATCACCAAACTTATCAAGCTGCAATACATCCGTGCTGGCACAGCCAAGGAACCATCAGTAGCATGTGCTCATTTGTCATGGTTGCCTTGCTGCCGCAGAGCTTGTCCTGTAGGTGGTGTTCAGGTGCCTGCAGGGATTGAGGAACTTACATCCTTGCACACTCTTGGTGCCGTCAATGTTGGTTTTTCAGGGGGCAACACCATCCTGAAAGAGCTCAAGAAGCTCACCCAATTGCACAAGCTCAAGTGACCGGCGTCAACAAGAAAAAACAGCAAAGAGTTCTGTTCTACCATCTCAGACCATGTTCATTTGGAATCCTTATCAGTTTGGCTCTGCATGGGCAATAATGAACCATGTTTGAATGACATGTTCTGGCCTCTGCAGAAACATCTGGAAAAACTTCAAAGCCTTAAACTATATGGTCTTGCAAAAGTGGTGCCACCATGGATCAAAGATCTTCCTAAACTCACAAAGTTACATGTGAATATGGCAATATCAAAAATGTTAACATAAGCGAAGTTCTTGGGGAAATAAAAGGACTATGTATTCTACGTCTTGATATCAGGCCACTTGAAGATGGTGATGGTGACCTTAACTTTTGTGTCAAGGTGAATGGAGTAGAGCAGCGCAGTTATTTGAACGTCAGGATACTTGAGATTGCTTGTAACTCTGAGTTAAATGTATCCTTTGGATCATTAGCAATGGAAAATCTTGAGCTGCTGACAGCTAAATGCTGTACTGGGTCGGCAGTGAAGTTTGCTGAGCTAAAGAGTCTGTCTAAAGGAAAACTCAAGGAGGTGTGGTATTTGGGTTCCCTTGACAACAAAGTTAAGGTGGACATGGAGAATCAACTTAACCAGCATCCTAAGACACCTGCTTTGAAACTGGAGGAACCATGTTCGTCCTGATGCATGCTGACAATCTGTCTGCTGTTTGCTGATTCTGGCACCAGAGCAGGATCAGGACTAAATGACTGGTGCTTTTCATTTATACCTTCCGCGTCCTTTTCCTGCACTCTAGACATTTTGAACTGAAACATCTGCGTCCCATGGCAGTGTAAAGATAATTGTTGCTTCTTCGATGTCAAAATGTACATGGAGAAAAATAAGGAGTTAACATATATAGCTAAAATGCTAAATTGACTCGAGTTTGTTTACTCTGTACTGCAAACGTTATATGCATCTGTGGCATATAATGGACCTGTGCATTGACATCGTAATTCAATTATCTTGCTTTCATTTTGTGCTTGTTTCCCCCTGATTCCTTGGGTGATATTGTGTAGATGTCGTCTCTCATAGTCTCGTATTATTGGTTCATGTTAATTCCAGGTCTCATTGAGTCGATTTGTCGATGTGCCTAAAGTCTTGACCAGATCTTTCTCCATTAGAGTACACTATCTCTCTCCTGTGCTAGGTGCTTGTCAGCAACATGGGTTCTACAGCTGAAGCCGGTGCTGACCAAGGCGTCACGCACGACTAAAACCCTGAAGATGGGCCGAGAAGGAGCACAAGGGCGCGCCGGCCCAACACACGCGTCCAAGGCCCGGCGTGGGCATGAAGACAAGCAGCTGGCAAGAGAGCCGTAAGCTAGTGGTATAAGGATAGAGCGATGGTGAGGAGAGGGAATTAACAAAGAATTGAACCCTGTTTTGTAACAATCACTCCTCTGTTCTATGACTCTTCCTCCGAACTGAATCCCAACTACTGCTTGCTATCCTATTCTTCCTCTCTTGTATGCTGGTGCTAACAGTGCTATGCACATATGTTTTGTGCTAGTCAGTATGGAGGCTAGAAAGGATCCTCTAATTAGTAATAGTACGATTGCTAAAAAATCCAATAACCTAAACGGGACATCTTCAAAATGATTATATGTTTATATTCTGTACCATTCGTTTAGAACAAGTCACAATTATCATATCAACTGATGCACAAAATCTTATGCCCATGACAAAAATCTGAATTTTAACTTGCACTAGAAGTCTTGGGTTTCAACCAACCTCTTAGTAAATTTAATTTCCAAGGACAAGGCTATCTAGAATCTAGAAATTCCCATCTTTAGACCTCGTCTTACACTGGAGCATTTTAGAACTGGCCCAGTAAATCGCAAGCAATGTGACTCAGAGAAGCAACAAGCAAGGTTGCAAGTTAAGCATCGACAGGAAAACTAGATCTCTACAACAGACCCTCTTATCCACGAAGCACGAAACAGAGGAACAGCTTTGAATCCGCAGATACCTTCTTCTGCTTGCTTTGTAAGAAAAAGAAAAAAGAATTTATTGTACCTTGGGCCAGAAGGACGTGGCAACAGGAACAAGCGACGCGCAGATGTGGACGCCCTTCCTCTTCAAGCTCAAGCTGCTAGTCTGCTACCGGTTCGAGGTCGATGGCGTGGACTGGGGCTGCAGTGTCGTCGCTTATTGTGCTCGGCGGCGGTGGGGATTCCATGGAGTAGCGAGGAATCTGGGAATCAGGCGGTGAGCTGCATCATTGGCGGGCGCTGGGACTGCGAATTGGGGAACGCCGACCGGTGGCGGGGCCCTGTATTGCCTGGCCTGGGCACCAAACCAAGTCCAGCAACGCTGGAAGCGCATGAGCGAAGGACTTAGCAGAGCACAAAAATGTTTCGTTCTTTTTCGAGGCACAAATGAGAAACAGAATTCCATCGCATTTATCCCCTAAACTTACAACCTATTTTGATTCCAATTAAATTACAAAAATCTTTATTACGATAAGATTATAACATTATTAGGCCGTTTAGGTCTCTTGATTGACTATAGAGGTGGACTATTATTAGTTGGAGTATAAATGATCTATAATTTCAAAAAAAAAAAAAGGCTTTGGAGACAGATTGAGGATTTTTGTAATCCGGTGGTTGCATTTTTATAATGCAACCCATAATCTGCAGTGTTTTGAGCATCTTCAGATTATTTTATCTGATTACTGTAATTCAGTTGGCATCCAAACAACCTCTTAATTCTTCATGTATTCAGTAAAAAAAACATTTGAAGTGACACAAATGCACGTTTCTAAAATCAGAAAATTCATTCGATCACCACACTAGACAATTGTACTGTGACCTGCCACGTAGGTATATCAGCCAAAACATCCTGATATATATATACTATTACTAATGTACGCCTCACAAGATGATTCTACTGCCTCATGACTGTATATGTACTATATAACTCAAGAATATTTTCACAAGACAGGAGTCACGGCAAACCACATCCTTACTGTAAACTTAAATTCTTGATATATTCATTAAGGGCATGTTTAAAACAAAGGAATACAAAATAGAGGAACGAGGAAAAATACAGGAATATAAAATGAATGAATGTGCAAAACAGAGGATGAAAAAAACACAGGAATGCGAACACATGAACCAGATGATGGATGAATAGGGTAAAACTCATATTCTAATAATGTGTGGACATAATGATATAGTAATTAAGAGTTTGAAATAATGTACAGACTTTTCCTTCATTTCACCTCCATTCTTAAATGGGGCCTTGTTTGAAATTCCCAATCTCCAGAGAGAGAGAGAGAGAGAGAGAGAGAGAGAGAGAAACAGAGAGAAGAAATTGATTCTGCCACTCACTCTCAAGATTCCTCATCAGCTGGTGCTGGATTGTCAAAAACAACCATCACATTCACCTCATCAACCACATTACCCTCCTTCTCAATGAACACGTCTCTAGTTATATCCATAGCAGCAAGACCTCCATCTACTCGGGTGCTCAGCACGGTGATCTCCTCCTTGTGGTGATTGTTTGGCAGTGCATTGACCTGTGCTTGCATTGTTATGGTGACACTGCACTTGGATCCTGGTGGGACAATGCCCTTGTCTGGCTCTATGCGGAAGCGGCATGACCTTGCCTTTGTCATGAAGGCAATGTAATCATCCGTATCGTTGGTTAGCTCAATTGAGTGTGATATCTGCAGGTCAAGTTCAAAGGGAAAGTGTGTTTCCAGCGGCTCAATCCCAAGCATGTCCTCCAGGCAAGGGATTTCCTGTGATGGAGAAATTAAAGATGCATTAGCTTTACCACAGCCTATCAAAGCTTTAGCTCTCTTGAGTTTCAGGGAGCACATATGGAGGCTTACCTGGAATTGGTCATCCTTACTATGTACTGCATTGATGAGCTCATATTCAGCTTCTTCGGCTTGTTCGGCTTAGCCCATATTCGGCTTGTTCGGCTTCTTTTTTCAGCTGGAACAGTATTTTTCTCTCACAACAATTCAGTCGGAACAGTGTCAAGTTTCAGACCAGCGAACGGGGCCATACTATGCCAAGTCTGCTTGTCTGGTCAATTTGCATGCATCTTTGGGCCAGCTCGAGGCATTTTGTCACTTGTTGATAACCCAAGGGTGTATGTTTCGATGATTTAATCCACCTGTGCCTCATCTTCTAAGTACCTGCATTTGCACAAAACTATTTAAATCGGAACCAAAATACTTAATGCACATAACATGTATATTGTTATCAGCTTAAGAATACAACTAAAGAGACGACGTTGGCTATAGCAACACAGGTTTGGAATATTATGTCAAAGTACCCTAATTCCTATAACTGAGAATTGAACTGTTTCCAGTAAACAACCTATAAAGTTCATGTGAAATTCCTATGTGATCCTTGTTTGAAAATAGCCTACCCCAACTTGTTTGAGACTTAAAGGTTTTGTTGTTGTTGTTGTTGTATCCTTGTTTGAAAATGATGCCAATTAATTTTACGAACTGTAACAGGGTAGTTGCTTTGAAAACTAAAAAAATACAGAAAAAAGGGACTCACAATAAGTAGATACTATATACCAGAGGAAATAATAAAGCAGTAACCTTTTATTGTTTTCTGTTTTCTATATTAGCGTTATTCCTAATGGAACATATGCACTGCTTTCAAGGTTGATTACACCAGTGAAATGGAGCACTACTTTTCAAGGTCATATTTAACATCATGATGAAAAGAGAACATATGCAACATTGACATAATCCCTCTTACTTTGCTAAGATCAGCCTCGTTTTTAGTTCCTGTCACCAGCTCTGTGATCATTACTCCTAAAATATATATATCTGATTTGCTTGATGATTTGCCTTCTGAAAGGTATTCTGGAGCACAATATCCTCTGCATGACAAGAAGTAAGAACACATATACCGACACGCTATGACATAAAGACATTGTAAGAGAACAAGTATCAGAAACAACAATGTATTAGTTGTAGCTTACAATGATATAAGACGTGATGAAGTCTTAGTTTGTGAATTATTATCAAATCTCGATAGACCAAAATCTGTAATTTTGGGCACCATGCGATCATCTAGTAGTATATTGGCAGGTTTGAGATCCATGTGGATGATATCCTTCTCCTTGTGAAGATAGAGCAAACCCTTGCAGATTCCCACTATGATTTCATAACGACTAAGCCATTCAAGTCCCCTCAATTCATCTTCAGAAGTGTATGAAGAATCAAGAGTATTTTAGAAGTTGGAAATCATAAAATAATAATGTGCCCAGTGTATTTGCAAGTGAGTATTGAACAAAATGTTGGCCTTTTTTATCTGTGCAGACGACCGTCCATGATTATTCATCAAATACAATTTAAAAGTAAGGATTACATGTAGTGAAGATGGTGCGATAAAGAAAGTAATCAGATCATATCAAAATGCAGTTTTTCGCCTTGGTCACTGGACTGTATGCAAGCAAATGAATAGAAGAACATTGATAGCATTTACTTGAGTATTTACAAATTTGTTTTAAAATTTAGGAAGTGGTCATGATTAGGGAATTGACTCTTGATCAGATAATTTCTCAGTTGTGCCCTTTAATTTAGTTTTTGACTATTGATGATCTTAGTTATTTGTTGTTTGGCATATTTTAGGGCGCAAGCATTCTGTTAGATTGCTGTTTATTTGCACTGCTGTCTTCTAATGTGGATTGGAGAGCTACTGATATCATGTTTAAAAGAAAGTCATACCTGTAAGATGGTTCTCAAGGTTTCCGTTGCTTATGTACTCGAAACAAAGCAACCTTTCCCTTATATCGGCCATAATTGTTCTTCCTTCAAATATTAATACGCATTCCTCTGTAAAAGAACAATAACCCAGAAAGCGCACTATATTTTCGTGCCTAACCGTGATCAAACTTTGAATCTCCCTGTGGAACATCTTGTTTTTAATTGTTCGGCTGTTGAAAAGCCTTTTCACAGCAACAATTCCATTTCGAAGGATGCCCTGTTTATAATACCCTTATGTCAAGTAATGCTATGAAATGAACAACGAACATGAAGCTGCTGCCATAAAAATAGCAGTTACCTTGTAAACCTCTCCACATCCACCAACACCAATTTTTCTCTGCCCAGAGAAATTTTCCGTGATGCTCTGTAGAAGTGACAAATCTAGATGGCTCGGTTCCTCGCTTCCAGCTACTACACGCTCTAGTATGTTCAGCTCCATAGTCTACTGATTCAGGGTAAAGATGCATTTTTGTTTATGAATATGAATTCAGTGTTGTTGACAACGTAAAAAAATGTTTTGGAACAAATGCAATAAGCAAAGAAAAAAACACTATGTTGCAAACAAAAAAGCTAACCGTCAATATGCTACACTTTTCAAACAGTTGGACTATGAGGTTATAATTAAATAGGAATTTCTATCTGACAGGGCACACATGAGGCTTTGATAATAGTACAAGTTAGTGTAGCACCTCAGGCCAAAGTTGTTAAACGTTATGTAATAGCGAGATCATTTTTATAAGAACATTGTAGCTCTCAATGAGATTCGGAGCTTTGTATTGACATTTTTTTTGACATTATCTAGATGGCCAAATCTTATTTATTACTTTAATTTGACAACAAAAAATTATGAGCTACTCCCTCCGTCCCAAATTATAAGTCATTCCAAGAATCTTGGAGAGTCAAAGCATCTCTCCCTCCGTCCCAAATTATAAGTCATTCCAAGAATCTTGGAGAGTCAAAGCATCTCAATTTTGACCAAATTTATATGACAAAATAATAATGTTTATGATATCAACCAAGTATCATTAGATTCTTCATTAATTATATTTTTATAGTATATTTATTTGATGTCAAAAATCTTTGTAGTTTTTTCTATAATTTTGGTCAAATTTGAGATGCTTTGACTCTCTAAGATTTTTTGGAATGATTTATAATTTGTGATGGAGGGAGTACAATTCTTTTCCTACAGACTCACTCATGAAGTCATGATAATATGTAGTACTCCTAAACGATATGAAAAGAGGATAAAGATGTTAACATGATTAAATGATAATACTTGCAATGCTTATGTACTAGAAAAAGTTGATGTCTAAGAGTAGGTATTATAAAGGCTATGTTTGGATCCTATGGTCTAAAGTTTAGTAGTTTAGCCACTAAACTTTAGTCCACTTTAGCTCTTGAGGCTCCAAACAGAAGGTCTAAACTGTTGTCTAAAGTTTAGGCATGTTATAAAAACTTTAGACTATACAAGTAAGCTAAAGTGGTCTAAAGTTCAATTTACTCCTCGATTTCAACCAAAAACTTTTGATCAGAGAATCCAAATAGGCTCTAAGTTTTCATGTCGAAGTTGCAGAAAATATGAGCGAGTTTACATGTTTGCAGCGAGGTAGCATTAGAAAGTTCATAGATTTTTATATGAAACTGACGGAAGAAATTTGTTTAATGCAAATTGTTGCTCTCAAATAAGATATAAACTTAGTAAATAACTTTTTTTCATGTGACCTGCGACTATAGCTATAGCACAAAAGGTTTGTCCCATGACATTTTTCACATAAGATCCTGGATGCATGTATAGGGAGACATCATAGACACTTTTAGAGAGAGACGCAGATCAAAGAGTATGGTATGAAGCTTTAATTTAGAGCCATGTGGATGAACTATTGTTATTAATGTAATATGCCCAAACTCCGGGAGGGGTTTGGCGACCTGCATCACACTGAATGAACTGACCTTTGCATCAGGTTCAGTAATCTCGTCCACACTTTCCGTTTCATCAAGCTCAGTAAACTCATCCGTACTTTCCGTTTCAACAAGCATCTTGATTATATGCTCTGCATACGGTCTCTTCTCAGGGAGATGCTCCAAGCAGCTTTTGGAAATCTCAGCGCATACTTGTATTTGTTCCAAGCGCGTGTCTTCTAGTGACGTTCCAAATCGGTCAGCCCAGCTTTTGAGTACCTATAGGAAATGGCAACGATTAATTGCTTTTAAGGGAACTGGAGATATCTTTTCATTTGGAAAATTCAATAGTACTTCATAAATATCTGCCGTATAAATACTCTCTCCAGCTAAAATAAATCATGAGTTGTCCAAAGAATCATTTTAAATTCAAACAACTTCATAGAAAATAACAGAAATATTTGTGACGCCAAATTTGGTTCAATAGATAATATATTTTTATAATATATTTATTTGGTGTTGTAGATGTTGTTACTCTCTCCCGTAAAGATATTTAAATTTAGATAGTCTGACTTTGGGTGATTCTAAGAGTTCATTTAGGGATTAGTCGACTACTCCCTCCATCTTTCCTATTTCCTATTTCCTATAAAGCTGTGCAAATTAGTTAGTCTGACTTTGGTTGCTTCTAAGAGTTCATTTATTTTAGGATGGAGGGAGTAGACCATCCCTTCTATTCTAGATTAAGAATTTTGACTTTTCTAGATACATAGCTCTTGCTATATACTTAGATACTCTCTCTATTCTCATTTATAAGTCGCACATGCATATCAAGATTCAAAATTTAAAGTCTTTGACCAATAATTTAGCTAACATTTTTTATTTATTGTAATATAAACTTGAATGGTTAGATTTATAATTAAATGTACTATCCGATTATTATGAATTTATAAGTATAAATAATATAATATAAAATACATAAAAGTATATAACTCTGCCTATGTTGTCTCAACATAGCAGGTCACAAGCCCTAGTAAAGGAGGAGGGTTGTGATAGGCGTGGCGAGCCAACGTTAAACCTAGCCATTCTAATGGAGATGAAACCCGAAAGAAAACTGTTGGGGCGTAACCCTCTTAGCGACGCGCCATATCGGAACCCGGGTATGGTGTTAAATGAGCAAGGGTCGGGTCGTCACCCCCGTGACGGGCCGTGTCGCGATCTGGGCACGGTGTCAAGTGAGCAAGGATCGGGTCGTCGCATCCTTAGTGGCGCACTACATCGGCGCCCGGGTGTAGTGAAAAATGAGCAAGGGTCTTCGCATCTGAGTCGACGGGTGCGAAGGGCAAGGAAGCTAGTCGAACCAACTAGGATCCGTTTAGGTAGTTGAAATGTAGGGTCGCTTACAGGTAAGTTAAGATAATTAGTTGATACCGCGACTAGGAGGCGTGTAAATATATTATGCGTTCAAGAGACTAAATGGAAGGGTCAGAAGACGAAGGAGGTGGACAATACAAGTTTCAAGCTTTGGTACACAGGGACAGTCGCGAATAGAAATGGAGGAGTTTTGATTGATAAGAGCCTCAAGAATAGTGTGGTGGGAGTGAGAAGGCAAGGAGATAGGATTATCTTAGTTAAGCTTGTCATTGGTGATATGGTCTTGAACGTAATTAGTGCGTATGCCCCCCAAGTAGGCCTCGACGAGAGTGCTAAGAGACAGTTCTGGGATGACTTAGATGGCCTGATTAGAGCTGTACCTAGTAGTGAGAAGCTTTTTATAGGAGGAGATCTTAATGGGCATGTAGGTACTACAAGCGCAGGTTTCGAGGCAGTTCATGAAGGTTTCGGGTATGGTAGTAGGAATCAGGAGGGAGAGAAAGTTCTGGACTTTGCGGTAGCTTTTGACCTGATGATAGCCAACACTTTCTTTAGAAAGAGAGAATCTCATCTAGTGACCTTCAGTAGCGGACAACACTCTAGCCAGATTGATTTTGTCCTCGCAAGAAGAAAGGACAAACGAGCATGCTTGGATTATAAGGTGGTACCAGGGGAGTGTGTTGTTTCTCAACATAAGCTTTTGGTGGTAGACTTTCATTTTCAGGTGCGTGCCCGTAGGGATAAACAAGCTAAGATTGAAAGAACAAAGTGGTGAAAACTGAAAGGGGAGACGTCAGAGGTATTTAGGGAAAGGGTTATCAAAGAGGGCTCTTGGAAGGAAGAAGAGAACATAAACAACATGTGGGAGAAGATGGCAACCAATGTTCGGAAGGTGGCCTCAGAGGTGTGTGGAGTAACCAAAGGAAGTGGAGGCGAGGCTAAAGATACTTGGTGGTGGAACGAGGAAGTCCAAAGGGCTATTAAGGAGAAGAAAGAATGCTATAGACGCTTGTATCATGACAGGAGTGTGGACAATATAGAGAAGTACAAGGTGGCAAAGAAGACTGCAAAGCGAGCTATAAGTGTGGCAAAGGGTAGAGCGTACGAGGATCTTTACCAACATTTGGGTACGAAGGAAGGAGAGAAGAACATTTATAGGATGGCTAGGGTTCGTGAGAGAAAGACAAGGGACTTCAACCAAGTTAAGTGCATTAAGGATGAAAAGGAGCATCTCTTGGTGAAGGAGGATGAGATCCAACATCGATGGCAAGAGTATTTTAACAAATTGTTCAATGGTGAGAATACGGACACAACCTTTCAGTTGGATGACTCTTTTGATGATACCAATAGGCGCTTTGTGCAGAGAATCCAAGAATCTGAGGTCAGAGAGGCGTTAAAAAGGATGAAAGGAGGTAAGGCGATGGGACCGGATGGTATCCCAATCGAGGTGTGGAGATGCCTCAGAGACATAGCTATAGTATGGCTAACCAAGCTGTTCAACCATATTTTTCGATCGAACAAGATGCCTGACAAGTGGAGAAGTATATTGGTACCGATCTACAAAAATAAAGGGGATATTCAAAGTTGTACTAATTACCAGGGAATTAAGTTGATGAGCCATACTATGAAGCTATGGGAAAGAGTTATCGAGTATCGCTTGAGAGCAATAACGCGGGTCTCTATGAACTAATTTGGTTTTATGCCCGGAAGGTCAACCATGGAAGCAATTTTCTTAATAAGACAAGTTATGGAGCGGTATAGGGAGAAGAATGACCTACACATGGTTTTTATTGACTTGGAGAAGGCTTATGATAAAATACCAAGGAATGTTATGTGGTGGGCTTTGGACAAACATAAAGTCCCAACGAAGTACGTCGGGCTCATTAAGGACATGTACAACAATGTTGTGACTAGTGTTCGAACAAGTGATGGAGACACGGATGACTTCCCGATTAGGATAGGACTACATCAAGGGTCAGCTTTGAGCCCTTATCTGTTTGTCTTAGTGATGGATGAGGTCACAAGGGACATACAAGGGGACATCCCTTGGTGTATGCTTTTCGCGGACGATGTAGTGCTAGTTGATGAAAGTCGGACATGAGTGAATCAGAAACTGGAGTTATGGCGGGAGACTTTGGAGTCTAAAGGTTTTAGATTCAGTAGAACTAA